AAAAAAAGTATTTTACAACATAATTTGCTTTCATATGTAATTATATGATAAATAGAATATTACATGGTCGCTTGGAGATACGAATTTTATCTTCTCGTGTTGAAAATCTCTCAACACTGATCTTTTCAACACTCGCGCATCTCCGCGCGCCCATGTAATATCCTCTATTTATTAAGTAACATCCGAGCATGCAAGATGTCTGTGAGCATAGATAACTTTCAAAAATAGCTTGAAATTTCACGAGTTTAAATTAAATTTATGCATATTTCAAACACAATTGAGGCTAACGCAGTGTAAAAAGGGATTCCGCATCCAAATTAACTATTAGTAAGCAAAAATGATGGAAAAAAGCTGTAAACTAGTGTGAGCTGCGTCAGATTTTCTTAAGAAACAGTTGTGTAAAAAAAAAAAATTTAAAGAATTTTTAAATCCTTAAAAGGATTAACGTCCAAAACGCCAGTAAGCCTTGTTTCATGCACCCAACTTTTTTATCTTTTAAGAAAGCTTTAAATATTAAGTCTAGTTTGCAACATGAACGGCCGTGTTGTATGGGAATTACAATCTCGAGACGCAGGCCAGGCAGCACGGACGCGAATGTTGTAAACGACTTATTAAACGCCAACACTAATTAACATAAATTACAGTAAGATAAATGACGAAAAATGAAAAAGAAGGTAACTGCTGAGTTTAGTCYCTATTAATTATACCATGCGCAATTTACTGCAACYAATAATTATTTATCCCACAWGGAAAGCAAGCCATCTGTTGGATAAGGTTGCTATCTGTCTTTCCTTGCTTCAAAACGTAGTGACGGTCTATGATGCGATATTAAAAATGAGATCATTGCTAATGTTGGGTTCTCAATGGTGACGATCGTGTTTTAAATCTAATCTAACACTAGCTTTTTGCTTTCACACAGAAATCACAATAATATCARGAGAGTTACCTTGGTGTCCAGCATTTCTAAGTTGATTCATAACATAAWCATCAATATCTGAATCAAGGAACATTGCATCCATTCCAGGGAGCAACGATCTTGGGTGCTCAGGAGAGTCAACATAGATGACATCAGAGCTTTGGAATTTAGTGAATGTCTTATTTGATAAAGGGAGAAGATGCAGA